TTAACTTTAAAAAAAACTTATTTCATTTTGAAATCCACATGTTTAAGCTTTCTGTGAATGAAGGAGAAAATATTAATTATACTTTTCTGTGACAGGAAATCCTACCATTTCCAGATTAAACAGTATTTGGTATTTGGGGAAAGCCTGGTAACTCAAAGGCGACAGCTTTGGTGTAAAAGTGGTATACATTCAAAAGTCTGTGAGTAGCTAGGATCAGTTGTGAAACACACTTCCTTTTGTTTCTGTCTGGAATCATTATTATAATGCCCACAGTGGTCAACATCTTCTTGTCTTTCTCTTTTACAAATCCACCGGCCATCCCTGTATATTGATCGGTCTTAGCCGTAATGTTATGTATTCCACTAGTTTTCATTCTTACTGCATGTATTCCTTGTCATTGTTATCTTAGTGTCTTTAACTCATTGTTCAGCCAAAAACATAGATAATGGAGTCTATGAAAGACATCATAATGTAGTGGAAAGAATTTAGAAACCGGGTAAATGGTACTACTTTTTACAAGAAGTGTGGTGATTAACAAGTTCCTCAAATTATTTAAACTTCTCTTCCCATGTGCAAAATCAGGATTATAATGCCTGTGATACATATATGCTTCACTTATTCAACAAATATGTATTGGGTAACACAGAAAGTCATCACTTAACATCATTAATTAATAGATTCTTAGAAACTGTGACTTAGGTGAAGCAAGGTAGAACAAAGCCAATCTGATCATAGGCTAATGGATATAAACAAGAGCTAAGCACTTACAGCATATTTCTGGTCACAAAAACATTACCCAAGTGGTAAATAAAGACTCAAAACACTTCTAAAAGTAACTATTAAAACAATTGTGAATTATACATAATACATACATTCAGGAAAGAGGAATAAAAACAAGTAAGGTAATTATTTACTCAACTTTTGGTTAAACAGTGGGTGTTGGTGGTCATAGCAGTAGGTTAAATCAAGGAATGGATATTTGCAAAGCAAAAATTGTCAGAAGCACCTTCTAAATGATGTAAGTCAACAAGACTATTATCGGTAGAGTGGGCTCCCTGAGTGCTTTCAGACTGCATTGCTTATTGTCTAGTTTATACTGCATTTGTATAGTTATTGACTATTCTACAAATTCTTATTTTATAATAATTTGTATTCATTCATTCATTCATTTTCCGATCTGCTTATTCCAGCTGTATGGTTTAGGTGGCCAGAGCACATCCCGGCAATGCAGGGACAAGGTGGGCACTGACTCTGGACAGGCCACCATCCCACCACAGGGCACACGCACACACACACCAACATTCAGTCACACTGGGAGCATGTAGACACATCAATTCACCTAATGTGCACAGTTTTGGGATGTGGGAGAAAACTGGAGGACCTGGGGAAAACCCACGCAGACAGAGGAGACCGTGCAAACTCTACACAGTGGCCCCAGGTAGGAAGCAATTTTTTTCCTCAAAACATTATAACAGAACAATCTTATACAAAAGGATGTTACTCGAGAACCTGCTTTAAGTGAATGTCCATCACTATTTTAGAGCCAAGAAACATTTTCTTCTGGGGATAATGGATGAAAATTTTATTACCGAAGATAACTATGTGTGTCGGATAGTGATCAGCATTATAGAAAAGAGTGAAGCAAGGAAGAGGGACAAGAAGGTAGGCTGGTGTGTAGTCAGGTGGGTAAGATGTTCTAAATGTGTGTGTGTGTTTTTCGTTTTTTTTTTGAATAAAAAAAGAGAAGTTCACATAGCTAAAATCTAACACTCTGTGCTTCATAAAGACTAGCCTCATGATTTTTCTCCGTGAATACTCAGCACCAATTTCAGTGTCTGGAACGTAATTAACATTCGTTAAATATTTGCTTTAAAACAGACAATTTAGAGTGTTCTTAATCTATAAAATATTAAATGAATAAAAGGTTTTATTTCAAATTCAATTTCATCAGGAAATTTGGAATAAAGAATTTTTTAGGCCGGATGTGGTGGTTCACACCTGTAATCCCAGCACTTTGGGAGGCCGAGGCAGGCGGATCATGAGGTCAGGAGATTGAGACCATCCTGGCTAACATGATAAACCCCGTCTCTACTAAAAATACAAAAAAAAAAAAAATTAGCTGGACGTGGTGGCAGTCGCCTGTAGTCCCAGCTACTTGGGAGGCTGAGGCAGGAGAATGGTGTGAACTTGGGAGGCGGAGCTTGAAGTGAGCCAAAATTGCACCACT